TATATTTAATAAATTAATATAAAAACCTTGATAAAATAATTTGCCATTAAGAACAAGGTATTATTTAAATGAATAATGATATAGCCTTTTAATAAATATGTGCATAAAATTCAAAGATTAAATATAGATCAAATGGTCTTAATAAAGAAAAAATAATAATTTTTTTTCTCCCCATTGGCCCTATCAACTTTTGAGCCATCATATTAAATAAATTAAGCCTCAAGGACAAGTTTAATAAAAGGGCATCTTTTGAAAGATAAAAATACTATCTGCTTTTTATCTAAAAAATATAGGTGAGCAAACAAAGAATAGAAGTTGAAGACGGGTTGGTTGTAGGTTGTTCGCGAACAGCTCGTGTTTGGCTCGTTAAGAAGCTTGTGTTTGGCTCATTCGCTAAGTTAACGAGCCGAACACGAACAACACGAACAAATATTTGTTCGTTCGTTTTCGGCTCATTTTGGCTCAAAAAACTACTAATCAATTATATATATATATATATCTTTAATGAGTAGTATTTTTAAAAATTTTAATTGACTACAAGACTACAAAAATTTATAATTAATTAAAAGTATTAATGAAGAAAATAAAATAAAAATTATTAAATTATATTCAAATGATGTTTTAAATATTGCCCCAGTCCTTAACGTCTTATGGCTAAGTGATTAGGGTTGTTAAAATGACTTTTTGTTCATGAACGGCTCATGTTCGGCTCGTTAAATAAACGAACCTAACACGAACACACTTTTTGAGCTCAAAATATAAACGACGGCTCGTGTTCGGCTCGTTTACACCCCTAGTTGGGTGGAAGAAAAACATGTGTTAGGTTATCATTCGCAATTTTTTTCATTAATACCTCTATTATTTTTTATTTTATTAAATTGTGTTTGTATTTTTGCTTTATTTTGTTGGATAAATGCAATAGAGCTTTATATGAACTATGGTATACAACAAAATAAATGCAAATGGTTTGTTTATGAGGTTACACATCCACACACAAAAAAAAAACAACTTTTGAATAAAAAAAAAAATGAAGCTATATTTATTTTATTGCATTGCCCATTTGAGTTAATTAATAATTAGTTAAATTAATGAATTATCTTTTTACTTAAAAATACTTTTTTTAATCTCTTTAGTTCTCTATAATATTAAAAGAATCCTTAGGATAATGAATGATTATTTACTTTTTATAAGTGCTATAATTATGATATGAAAGCATGTTAGTGATGACGATTGTGTAAGTGGCCTATTAGTTAAAGGCATATTTCTCTTTATTTTCTAATGATTAATATGTAACAAACTTAATTGATTATAGTATTATTATAGTCGCCCGTCATCAAAATAAACATTATTTTAATCTGCAAAATGATGTGGCATTAGATCACTAAGAGGTTGATCATTAAGAGTGCATGCATGTGCTTTGTGACTATTGTAGTGCCATAATGACATGGATTTGAATATTATGTCATGATTAAGAGAAGGTGCATTAGGCATTAAAAAATTGCATAAGTATATATATATATATATATATAGATATAGATATATATAGATATATATATTGACAATTTAATAATGAATTATTAAATTTTAATAATGAAAATTTAATATATATTATATAGTGATTTAGCAAGTAATGAATTTTTAAAAGGGATTATCACAGTGGAAATCAAATTTACCTTGTCACTTTTTTTTTAATCAACAATATTGACTAATCAACAATCATGACTATGTTAAATCAGAAATACTAATTGTAAGAAATAAAAAGCTATGGAAATCGTAAATAGTTAGAAAGATAAAGGAGATAAATCGAGCTATAGTGATTCAACCTCTTAAAGGCCTACACCATCTCCCAAAGTCCTCTTTTTTGTAGATAATGTTATCACCTCACATTTCTACTTAATGCTAAACCCACTTCAAATCATATACCAACCACCACTGGGGTAGATTGCATGGTAACTTCATTTGAAAAAAAGAACATTTTTTTTTATATTAGGAATATATCTCTTTTACTCTTAAAATATTTTCTTAAAACCCAGATAAACAATATTTAGTATAGAAAAATTAAAGGAAAGTAAGGAACTTGTGCACAAACTTTGATCTCTTCAAAATTCTTGCTTCTCTCTCCTTGATTTTGCAAATGAATAATAATCAATTTTATTGTTAGTATGTATATATTATGGACATGATAAGAATTAGCAATCCTCAATATATAATAAATTAAAATTAATGTTAATTCAAATTTGAAATTTAAGTCACTGACTAATTGTACTATATGACCATAATTATTTGATACAATCAATTTTATTCATAAATCTATTAAATATCATGTTATCTAATATACATTATATAACAAGAGTATATTATATATTTGATTGAATCATGCCCAGAGAATATGATCACCATATTATAGTATGATTCTTTTATTGTCAAATCATTTTATTCAATGTTTAATTGATCATCTCAATTTAATTCTAAATATAACATATTGTACAATACAACCAATATCTGACAAAATAAACAAGCGATAAATTTGTAATATTATAACATTATGTAACTAATCAAAATATTTTTTTCTATTAGCCTCAAATTAAACCTAGTCTAGTTATATAATTCAGCATCATATGATACTATTATTTCTAGATATTTAAATTAGGCTCTTTTTACTTTGTTATGTTTAGGCTATGTGCTGGTTATCTAAACATCCTTTCACTTTAAAGATAATAATTTTATAACTTAATAATAAATAAATATTTTTTTACTTCATGCTCGATTTTAAGTTAACATCCTAGTTTTTCTGGGACAATTAGACCACTAGCTTCACTTAAATCATAAATGCTACTCAATATAATCTTTATACTTGAAACATATTGAGCTCACTTATGCACTGACTTTAGAGTTGTTAGCAATGATAATAGAATTAAAACTTGATTCAAGGTTAGCTCTTGCACAAACTTTAGAGTTGTTAGCAAATGTGAAGATCATTACAACTATATTTACGAGTATAAACACAATTTATTTTAAGAATTGAGACTTGATTCAAGGTTCATTGTATATTCTTATAAGTTGATTTTATTTAAGTGTAAGCAATTGACATTTAATCAACCTAATTGAGACATGCCTACTAAGTAGAACACATGAAGAAAAGATTCTCATCAATCTAAAGTTTTGGCAATCTATAAAGATTAGGGGAAAGTTAAATTTTGAAGCAAATCAAATCTATTACATAACAATCAAAAGTTATTTTCAAATTTAGATCAACCTTATCCATCTAAGTAGATTTCAAGTATATGATTCTCATTAACAACTCTAGAGTTAGTGAAATAAATATTAAACATTAGAATGCATGCATTTTTATATGGCCATCATAATATATGGCTAGTACTAGATTATATCAATGTCATCTTAAAATATTCATGTGCTATATCAATCAAATATATTCTAGACATAATTGTGATAATTTGTGTCACAAAATACTACAGTTGAATGAACATTTTGAGCCATTATTTTTCATTATTAATAAAATGCATTTTCGAACGCTACTATAACGTAACCTAATTCCATATTTTATCCTTTCTCAAAGCGAACATTTTACCTTTTTGCATAAAAATTACTTCCATTCAATGACTCCAATGACCCCTTGCTCTCATACACACACAAACACATACACCCCTCTTCCTTGAAAGAGTCCTTTAGAGTAAGGATAGATTCATAGCTATTTTAAAGAGTTGGATCAGTTCAATTGATTGGTTTTTAAATCGATTGCATTTAAAATTCAAATTTCAAAAAATTGAACCAATCAAAATTTTAATAAAACCAAATCAATAGAACCAAACTTTAATTCAATTTAAATAATTTTGTTATAAATGAATCGAAATTTAAGTTCGTTAAACAAAAGTAAAGAAATACATACCTTGCACATAATATAGATTTAATTTCATAAATCCCTCATTCAATTTTAAATTTTTAATTTTATTTCAGTTTATTCAATTGAATGAAAATTAAAACTGAATCATTAATAAAAAATAAAAAAAACTGAATATTAGAGTTTTAAAATTAAAAAAAAAAACTAAAATACACTTTTAAAACAGAACCCAATAAACCAAATTTATTCTACTCCATTCAGCTTTTCAACAATGACAAGAAATTGCACACCCCCAATGAGTGCATCTTATCTTATAATAATACTAACTCAGCATATCAACACAACAAACAACATTTGAGCTATTGGTTCAAACGTTTAGCATTACTCGCCAGACCTTTTCTCTTTCTTTTTTTGTAACAGAGGTAAATATGCACTAGACCAGTATCAAAAGAAAAGTCAAATAAAAAAGGTATATATTGGTTTGAGCTATGGATTCAAACGTTTGGCATTACTCGCCAAACCTTTTTTTTCTTTCTTTCTTTGTTTTAACAGAGGTAAATACTCATTAGACCAGCATCAAAAGAAAAGTCAAATAAAAAAGGTATATATTGCTCACCATGGCTTTCAAAACATTGGTAGTCCGTAGTATATATAAATAAGAACCTAAATTCCAATTGGATTAACTCAAAAATAATATCATCGTATTTGGCATCTCTTTATGTACTGTCATAATGCACATTATGCAGAAGTGAATACCACTAGTGATCATGAAATTGAATGTTTCAAAACAATAGGAAAGGTGTTGAACTAACATAGATTTCCTCTTCACCAGGGCTTTCAAAACATTGGTAGTCCGCAGTATAGATAAATAAGAACCTAAATTCCAATTGGATTAACTCCAAAATAATATCATCATATTTGGCTTCTCTTTATGTACGGTCATAATGCACATTATGCAGGAAATTGAATGTTTCAAAGCAATAGGAAAGGTGTTGAACTAACATAGATTTCCTCTGCAGCGCAAGCCATCTGGGCCAAACAAAATTATAATTATTCCTAATAATTGAAATTTAGGGAAATCTTTCCGAAACTCCAAGCAATGTGCACATTAAGTTGAAATTAAAACAAAGAACATCAAAACAGTTGCCAGTTGTAGCAAAATTTCTCAAAACACCTGCATAACATTTGATATTATCTGACAGTATTCCCAAAAGACAAGGAGGTTAATTTACAATTACAAAAAAAAAGGTAAAAATAAAAAAATAAATTAAAAAAAAGAGAGAAGAAAAAGGAGGAAGCACTTGGATTTCAACTAAGAAACACGATGAGAAGCTAGGAGAGGTCCATATTCTACAGATTTGTCTTTATTGATTGAGCTTTAAGGTGGTCCGCAGCACCTGCATCAATTATTACTCGTGCGGAAATAAGCAATTCATAGTAAACATATATGCTTGTAACAGGTGGATAGAATTGAAAATAGATTTTACTTGATTTGCTTAGCTCAATAGAAAATAAGTAGAAATCTACTTTCATTTTTTTGTTTGAATGAAATATACCTTAAATATAATAAACAAAAGTTTGAGATAAATATTCTGAAGAAAAGGTACAATCGATCTGCTAAATCCGTTTCTCCCATGTTAAATATATAATGATTAAAGGTCATATAAATATTCGAAATTCTAATCATAGCCAGTCCTCACCTAATAAAAGCCCAAAGAAACACTTCAGTTATTTTATTAATCACAAACATAAATTGATCTTCATGATTCCGATTTCATGAAGTACTGACTCCAATAATATAATAAAACTTGATTTCCTGGCCATTTCTTCCATTGAAACAAATAAGAAATAGTGCAACAAAAAACAACCTATCGCCTCCAATAACATTAAAACTGTGCAAATTAAGGACCCATTTAGGACAATTACTAGTTTTTTGTTAGTTTATTCTTTAAGAAATGTTTATTTAGAGTATTTTTAAAATATATTTATCTATCTTTTTATCTACTTAATAGATGATTTGGGATTATAGGACACTAATGAGAATGAATGTTTCATAAGTGGGGAGACTATGAAATCCCTCGAAGATGATGACGCAAGACTATTAAACAATGAGATGCCTTTTGATATTTAATCCAAAATTCCAAATCTAAGTTCGCTCATGCAAGAGCACTCTCAAGGAAAAAAGTAAATAAAATTTATTGGAAAATCACATTTTAGATCTTTGGTTTGAATGTAGTTAGCAGGACAAAAAATAAACAAATGAAATGCAAACATACATAAGATTTTATTTATATTGCCAATTAAACTTGCAGAAAAATGGAGTGAAATTTTAATAAATGTCAGGAGCTAAAAAACATTGGGATTTTTTTTCCTTTAGTTATGGGGTTTTCATGGGCAATTATTTGATTTTTCTTATGTAAAATGCATCATCTAGGAGTTATACTAAATTTGAGCAAAACGAGATTTCTCGTAAACACAAGCCTCTATAATCAATTATAACTTTAGTGAAAACCCAAGAGAACTATCATTTAATGAAATCATCGTGCTTTGGAGTGGTAGAAAGAATTTGGGATTAACCATTTAGGGCATAGATGGAGAGAACCAATAAAACTGATCAGAGTATCTCATTATCCTGAACCAACTTGGTGGATTTAGGCCACTAACAACAAAAGGATTGAGAGGCTGTCTCATTTATAGAATTAAAATAGTAGTCATGGGTTGTCCTTCTTGATATCTTGAGCAGATTGAGTGATAGCAGGCTTTAGGGCACTAACTCTTAAGATGAGATTCAAAGATCAATGTTTGAATTAGAATTGGGTTCGACGACACGTCCATGGTTTTCAGTCATTAAAAGAACTTTTTATGTGATTACCCTTGAAACTGAGGCATGATGTGGCCAATTTAGCTATTTTGATTTTGATATTGAATATAATTTAAAAACGAAAGTAGCCTAAGCTTTATATATGGCATAATTCATGGGAGCAAAACATTCGTCAAGATGAACATTTAATTTAAGCGGTCCTTGAAAACAGCCTAATGAGATTAGCATCTATATGATAGTGAAAATTTCAGCAAATTAACAAAGTGCCTTAAATTAAAAAATAAAAGAAAAAATGAGTTGGACATGAACTAAAGGTTGAAACACAAATTAAATCAGAATAGCATAGTATGATTGTGATTTGATTTATCAACTTTCACGGCAATTTAGCTACCACAAAGTGGAAATGTTAGAAGGAAGGTTGGAGTATATCTTTGGGGGAAAGCATGCAATTAAGATTAATTGAAATGATCATAAAAATGATTGATTTTCAAATTTTCATTTGACAAAGACGACTCGAGAATAGGAAGCTTCCATTTGGCACAAGCTTTGCTCAAAAAAAGATTGAAAGAAACCCAAGCTTAAAACTATATATTGGGTAGAGAAACCCTCAGAAAAGAAATTCTTCCATTTGAAACAATCTTGACTCAAGTACGAGAGTATGAAACAAGCAAGCTTGTATTAGTACATTTGGCAAAAAATTCTATGGATTTGGAGATTCTAATTGAATAGATGTATTGAACAAATGGCACTTATACAACTAATATTGGGCTTCAACTCTAATTTTAAAGAATCTTGAGAATTGCTTTGGTGATTACAAATTCTGACTTGCGTAGGGTCAAAGGTTAGGACTGACTCTACTTAACATTTTAATGCATGGAAACAAAGCCCTAAATTTAAGCGACAAACTCTAATAATGAGCTTTGGTGATTACAACTTTGACATTAAATTTAAGCGACAAGCTATAAGTATGGTGGCTATGTCTATTTATGTACTTAGAATTTGAGAATTGTTTATGTGCGTGTATTTAATAAGAAATATTAAATTATCCTGCAAAACAATCATGGGACATAAAACCCCTACTGGATAAGGTCTAAACATGAGAATGAATTAATTTATCATTGTAAATTTTGATAAGAATATTCTAGTACTTATTGTTTTGCTCTTAGAGTAGACTAACAAATCAAGACTTATAACCTTAATTTTGAGTGTAGGTCTTATGCCTTGAAATATAAAAAAAGCTATAAAGCGGTCTTATAGTCCTACTCTTCAGGCAAGAAGATTTGACATTTAGTACTTACAACTTTGAATCATAGAAAGCCTAAGGCCATATCTGATTTGCTGGGCTTGATATGATTTGTCTTATGATGCTTTTGGGCTTGATTTCATTTACATTAATTTAATTAATTCCATGCATGAAAAATTAGTTGAATGGACAAAGTTAATTTTACAAGTCACTCTTAGCATATTTGTGTTCACCCTAGTCTTCGTATTCGTCTTTATATTAGGATACCATGATATAATTTTTGTAATTTTGAGCACTCTGAGAATATCTTGTGAATTTATTAATACAAGAGATTTGTTGTATTGGACCAGTTTTTAGAGGTTTCACCAACGCAAAATTGAGAATTCATAGCAACCTATAATTAAAAAATAAAAAAATTGGACTGATTAAATATTTATTGAATTTCATCTCATTGAAAATTTTAGGCATTTAGTGGACTTATGTTCCATCATAGTGATCGAAGATTCCATGCTCTTCCGTACACCTTAAAACAGACTATAAAAACCAAAATGATCTTATTTTTAGAAGCATATAATTAATTGCAAATTTTTCTCATTTTATGTGCATTAAGCTTATCAAAACATGTGCAACAAAGAACCAAACAATTGTATTAAATAATAGGCACCAAGAGACCCACATGAATTTTCTTGTTTTTATGGATTTAAATTTCATTGTTTATTCATCTTTCGAACATCCAAAAAAATTGTTAATGGCTCTTTGAATTTATCAAATGATCTCTTTATTTTATGTCTGAAAAATGTGATAAATTTGCATTATGTATTTAATTTAATGTCAAAGCTTTATGGAATGTCCGATGAATGTATTTGAAATTTATAGAATTAACGCAATGATTTTTCTAATTTTTGAGGTACTATTCATTGAGTTATTAATTTTTTTACGGTTTCATTAAACGAATTTAAACAATTATCATAACTGTTAAAAAAAATTGACTAAGAAAGCTTGGAATATTCATTCTTTTAATGGGTTTTATATACAAAACTACACAAAAAAGAAAAAAATAATTGCAATAACAAACATGAAAAATACCCTCTAGCTATCAGTTGTTTCATCATTTAGGGATTGTCAATTAATGACGAGTGAGCTAACCATGGGCTTTTTCTTTCCTCTTTTGTGTATGAATCCATGAAAGAATTATTCTATTATAAATAATGAATTCGTGGTTTTACTTTTCCTTGTTTAGCTTTTCCACCAATCCTTTTTAATTTATTGGTCTTTTAACACCCCTCAAATTGGATGGCAATGACCAATCATTCTAAGTTTACTTACAATATTCTTGAATGTAGAATTGTTGAGTCCTTTGATGAATATGCAGCAATATGTCTTCATGATGGAACAGATGACGTGCAAAGATATTAACTTTGTAACTTTTCTTTTATAAAATGGCTATTCACTTCAATATGTTCGATTCAATCATGATATACAAAATTGTAAGTAATACTGATGACAAATTTATAGTCATAATAAAACTTTGCAGGTTTTCTTCTCTTGACTTTTAAGTAATCTAATATAAACTTGATCCATAAAAAATCATAGATTTCTTGGCCAATTGCCCCAATTTAAATTAAGCCAATTGTTTCTTGCTCCTCCACGTTATAAAATTCCTCCTAATAAAGTATAATATCCTAAAATGGATCATCTCCGCAAGTGATTCAACATAGTCTGCATTAGTATATCCTTTAATTTGTAAAGTATCATATTTTTTCTATAAAACTTCTTTTCCTAATGTATTTGAAAATTTTATAAACAGCATTAAAATGATCTCTTTAATTTGACATGAACTGGCTAACACGACTTAGTACAAATGTAATATCAAGTCAGGTATGATATAAATAGATTAATATTTCATTAAGCGTAGATATTAACTCGTATCTACTTCAGTTCATTCGCTTATGACCATTTTTTATCAAGTTTGCACAATTTGCGCCCCATTATTTTTTTCTATGTAATAGATCCATGACATTTTTGTTGCACAAAAAATATTCATTGCTCATATTGAGCAATTGTATGGCAGAGAATTATTTTTTCCTAACACTTTGATTTCAATTTATTTGACAAGTTTCTTCCTAAATACCTCTCTTAATTTTCATCACTTGTAATGATTATATTGTCAACATATACAACGTGAAATGAAATTTTTCCCTCGGTGCATTTTATAAAAAAAAATTATAGCCTCCTTAGTTCTATTTGTATCTAGCTCTCAGCATAACTTTTGTGAATTTGCTAAATTAAGCTCTTAGGAATTATTTATCCATATAGTCTATCTAGTTTGCATA